GGGCCCGCGCCCACCCTGCGCCCGGGCCTGCAGAAGCCGGCGGAAGCGGTGCTCGTGCCGCGGCCGTGCCTGCGGGCAGCGAGAGCCTCCAGGGTGCGCTTCCCTTCCGGGCGACGTCCGCGGCCCTGGCCGGGATGCTCGCCCCACCCGGCGGGCAGGGCTTCGGGAGGGCTGGCGTGCGCGGCGCGGTTGCCACAGGCTCAGGAAGTTGGCCCCTCGGGAGCCGAAGGCTTGCCAGGATCTCCTCAGTAGTAAGAGGGGGACGGGTCGGGGAGAAGGAAAAGAAAGCACCAGAAAGAGCACATTGCGATAACACAGCTGCATAAGGACATGTAAAACAACTACCTTACTCTAACCAAAACCTGGCTTGCAGGTATATTGGCAAATATTAGATAACGATTGAAATAAATTGATCTGTTGTTACAAATAAGTTTATTTCAAGAAACTTCCACGTTTTTCCATCCTGTGGGCTCACCTTCCAACTCTGCATTAGATCAGCAAGTAAAACCATCCTGTATAGCTGACCAACAGGTCTTGTCAGAGGACCGACATCTCTGCTGTGTATCACATCATACCCAGAATTTCTGGTCAATGACTCCAGAGCCAAGTCAACCTCCCCAGCTTTTTCTCTGCCCCCACCCAGGACCATGTTTTCTTTTCAGTCTGCTTTCCCTCTCTGTGCTTGCTTCGTAAGGGAAAGCAGAGAAGCTGTACTGACTTTGGCTTGGAGGCTGCAGCTTCTCTGCCTAGACAACCCTCTTTGCCCAGCTACAGAGAAGGTACTAGTCACTGCCACTTGCTCACTCAGGAATACGACAGGAAAATCTTGTACAGCAAGCAGACACAGGAATACTTTCACAAAGCCGCTTGCATTTGCTGATCTCACTACTTGTGTTGCCTGAACACTGCTAGCTCTGCCCCTCTGCTGCTAGGTTAGCCAAGAAATAAGGAAACAAGCTCTTTCCAGCACCACCTTCCATATCAACAGACATTCTTGCTCCTTCCCTGTCCCTGCAAATGCCTCTGTTTCTGGCTTTTGCCCAATAGCTTTCTTCTCGCTGGAGTCCTGCTGCCATCGGTTCTCTGGGCAGCAATTCTGCCACAGTCTCGGGGAGTGGCAGAGTGGGGCTGCCCCACGGGAAGATGAGGTGACTGGAACCAATGCAGTGGCTCTCACTAGCCCAGGCAGAGTCCTGTATCACCTGAGCAGGGCAGGCAGAGCAGGCACTTGTGGCTGGACCCACTGACACACCCAGATGTGGCAAGGTGATGAACCAGGTCCAAGGTCCACTCAGGGAGTCCAGGCAGGAGCAACAGGAGGTGATGCCAGGAACAGAATTGAAAACATATGTCCAAGGTCCACCCAGGAGCTGGAGCTGGAGAGAGAAACACTTTGCCACAGCTGGACAGGAATGAAGGCCCCGAGTTGAAATGGAGCTCCTGCCCCGTGAGCAGTGTGTGTAGTTGGGGGTCTTGAGGTAGGTGAGTCAAGAACATCAAGGCCTCAGTTAGTGTGCTTAGAGTCTGGTTCTCCTATGGATCTAAAGTGGCATGTCTGGGGTGAAGTCCTTCCTAACTTGACACCAGTGTCCCTGTCTCCCCCCTGCCACCTCCCAGTTTTGGGCACTTGGTTTTGATGTGCAGGGAGGAAGTGTCTGGGGAGAAAGTATGAGTAGATTGCAGAAAAGTGACAGCTGAGAGGATGCTGGTGGTTCCTACCATGGATGGGGAGAACTGGTGAATGTATAGATGAGCCACTGAGGCCCTTAGTCAGCAAGCTGACTTAAAAGAGAGCTTTCAGCAGCTCTGACGAGATCTCTTTATTATCGCCAGGAGAATGGATTTTTAAAAGATTGGGTGGGAAGCGATTTTCTCATCCTGTAAAGAATTTCAGGGACTTGGAAGGGGGGATTGTCTCAAGTGAAGATAACAAGTAAATGCCACCCCTGAACTGAAAAAAACATACTTCACATTTCAGTAACATTGAAAAGACGTCTTAAGCTGTTTCGAACCCTTTCCATATTTTTTCAGGAGAAAAGCTTCGTCAAATCCATCTCCTTCCTGCTAGCAGCTTTGGCTTTGACAAGTCGGCATGCTTCCGAACCAACGAGCGTTTCCGCGGCAGGCTTCCCAGCCCGCCTGTGTCGGGACGCGTCTCGACACCTGCACTATCCCGTGCCCGTCCATCACAGACCCGACAGCAGCCGCCGCGCGTGGGCTTTGCTCGCTTTCCTCCTGTAGGACGCGTGTCGCGGCTGGAGCACCCCCGAGTGATGCCTGCGGGAAGCCCCTCGTCCCCGGCGAACCCCCGGCAGCGCCTCCTCTCCCTCTCTACAGCCCCGGGGCGAGTTTTCGGGGGCAAGCAGGGCGAGTTGCCCACGGACGCCCCACGGGGGCAACGCCGTGACTGCGACGGGAAGCCCTTTCGCGCAAGCCCCGCGGGCGGGGGAAAGCAGCGGCGGGACCGGTGGCGGCATGGGGGGAGGTGGCGGCGATGGGGCGGGCAGTCGGGCGGCCTGGGGCGTGGCG